ACACACACACACACACAGATATATATATAAAAATAACAGTATGAAATATCATAAAAAATTTTTTAAAACTTTATTATTGTTAATTTAAATCAAATAAATCAACACGCACAAAAGCATAAATATTGGTTTCTTATCTTCCAGGATGCTCTTCAGAAACCTGAAACTAAAGTCAAGATTACACAACATTAGATTCAGGCTTGATGTCTGATACATGACTGTAGTTTAGTTATGTACCTAAAATGCCCTATGATTTGCTTTTAACAGTTCAGTAAGTTGTTTTCTGTCTTAACAGAAACTAAATGTTGTATTATTTTTCCCCTTTTAGGCTGCCATATTACAAAATACAGCTGAATACATCTACCAGCTAGAACAGGAAAAAGCCCGTCTGCTGGTCCAGAACTGTCAGTTGAAGCGGATGCTCAACTCTCAGATGAACGTTGACAGTGATGGAAGTAGCTCTGACTCTCCGTTACCAAAGCGCAAGAAGACTGATACAGGTACATAGGTTTTTCAAATGAAATATATGTATTATTATGTAACAAAGAGACTTATGTTTACATATATATAGAAATAACATCTGCCGAACAGCTTTAATTATGAGGATAATCTATCTTGTTGACTTACTTTGCTTTCAACAAAGCCTTTATTTAATAACATATATGCCAAAAGATCTTTTCTTTATTTCTTTTTTTTTAAGCAAATACTTTAAAGAGTATGAGTATGTGTACAGTAAAATAAGTTTCCTGGTTCTTCTTTATTAAATTTTCAATATAGAGAATGTGAGTTTTAGTGCTTAGTATACATATGCAGGAAGTTCAGTGTTAATCAGTTTATCAGTATGAATCAACCCAAGATACATAAACAGGGTGGACAAGTAACAGTAAAAATGTATGCAAGTTAATGTAATAATAGTCCAATAATTGGTCTAGTAAAAACCAGTTAAGTAGCTCCCATTTCTGTTTATGTAAATTTGTGTGTTACATTCTTATTAGTAATTATTATTATTACATTGTTATTAGTATCTTAAAGTTTGAGCTATTCTGTGAAAGAAAGTTTGGTATAATTAAAATCAGTGTGAATTAGAAATAATAACAAGCTTGTTTTCATTAAGTGCAGTGAACTGACCGTAAGGTTTAGAATCATAAAAAAATGATGAATAGTTGAAAGATTATTTTATCAGTCAATTGTGTTTGTTTATATATTAGCAGTAGAGTCCTCAGATGAGGGAATTGGCAGTATGAGCCCCAGAGGTAGTACTAGTAATATGACAGAAGAAATGAAACAAGAAATGATTGATCTGCGAGATCGATTACACAGGGAACACCAGCTGCAAATTGAACATGAGAAACAAACACATAGCTTGGATATTCAGATGTATGATGATCAAGTTCCAGGAACTATTGAACAACATCTGCCCGAGGTGACTGTTTTGTTTTTGTTGTACTTGTTTGTTTGTTTTTTATTTTTGTTCTTCAGATGGCCTTCATGTTCATCTCAGATTTTAAGTTTAACATTTGTCTTTAGATTTGATCTTTATGGGTAATAAATATGTATTGAAATAAATGCAGTTTTGCTGAGATTGGCTTTACTGGTTATTAGTAAGTTCCATATATTTCTAATATATTCCTTAGGCAAGAAGTAAGCAAAAAATATATAAATGATTTTAAAAGTAAAATCTAAATTCCATATGTTAGATTAGAACTTATTAAGATAGTTGATTGAGCTCACAAGACTGGCTTAGTGTCCTACTTAGAAAACCTATTAAATAAAAGAAAAAGATATTCTTATCTAAAGGAAATACTCAATACTTGAGTTGTATTCCTAAAATATTGTGTTATTAACCATAGAATTAGTGATGGGTCCAAATTGATCATGCCTACTTTTTAAACGTATTTGTTCTAAGCTTTTCATGCATCAAAATGTTTGTGAATCCTTAACTTTGTTGATTACAATGATCCCTAATAACATGAGGTATAAAAATGTAAATTAAAAAAACATCAATATTGCAATTAACTCTCTAAACCCAAGTAGACACTGACAGCATCCAATAACATTTATGTCTCTTTGGTTGAAATATAATCCAAATCTTGTTATTATCCACAAAATTCAGAAAATTTAAGTTTTATAAGGTATGGTGATAATTATTAAGCAATAATGAAAATAATTCGAACAGAAAGCTCAAAAAATGACGGGTTTAAAGAGTTAATCCTACTAATTACTGCTTGTGTATTTTACATAGAAAATGAGGAATTTCACCTGAAATTTTTGATTTCTTTGTATTGAATGTATTAACAGGCAAACATTTAAAAGTACTCAATATTATGTATTATACGGGCCTCATCAGTAATGAACAATGTGTAAACAAGTTTTAAGGTTATATTGGTTTGTATGAATGTTAGTCATTATATACGGTTTTTAGAAGAAAATTGTTCTTTATAAATAATGTATTAATCACATTTTGTAGAAAGCAAAGGTGGAGCAGCACTACTCCTATATTCTAAACAAGGAGCATCTTTCCAGTCCAACTGCTGGTGTGTCTCAGAATGAGAGTGACTCATCTGAAGGGTCAGTTCCTCTTCCACTTACTGATATTCCAGAGGACTTGTCAGGAAAGTCCTCTACTGTACTCTCGTCTCATTCCAGTGATACGGAGATGGTGTCATCATCACAACTGTATGTTTTGGATTCTTCTGTTCTCACATCAAAGCCAATTCATCTTGTTTCCAATGAAGTTTGCATCTCACATCTAAAACCTGCCAATACCAAAGAGCCTACCCAATATGCTACTTTATCTCGCACTTACCAAGCAAATAGCACTTCTCGCCAAAATTTGGAGACAATTGTGGAAGCAATTCGCCACCTAGAAGGTGATCACATGTTTCGGGATGATCCTGAGCCTTTTAGTAAACCTGAGTCTGAAAGGACAGTATCAGATAATGTTTCTTCTAATGAACTCTTAACTGATCCTTTTCAAATTTTATGTGAGACAACAAAAAGCAGTGCCCTTCATAGTCAAGTTTTTCAGTGTTCATCTAGTACACAAACTCGGCCAGGTGTCATTGTTACCAATCATTCATAATTGCTGTATTGAATGCTTGCCACTTTTGGGGTCATGGTTTTCATCTTTGTTGTTGTAAGAATATGTTTCATCTGTATAGATGCCCACACTCAAGAGCTTCTTTTAGATTTTGTGGCCTGATTGTTGGGTAAAAATGCATTGGTTTCATAAATATCATTTGTATTATAACATTTAGTGTTTAGTTTGCATTGTCTTCACTTACCATATAGCTTGATTGTAATCTATTAGTGAAGTTGTGTATATAGTTTATACAAGTGCTTCATAAGAAAAACGTTTTCAGAAATTCTGGAAAGTGAGTACCTAAATTAAACAATTAAAATTTATGGTTGCACTATAATTTTTTTCTGATGTTACATGTTCAATTTATGCATATACTTATAGGTATGAATACACTTAACATACCAACATACTCATTAATTAATCAGTTGGTGTGCATATTTAAAGCTGTGTTTAGTTTACTACTTGGTCCTATCAAGCCAAGTCTTTTAATTTTTTTTCATAACAGAAAAAATATAGCCATCTAATTCGCAGTTTTTTCCTGTAATTTTTTAAAGATTCACATGTAATATGTATGAAAGACAATTTATTAAATTGTCTTTCAATTCAAGAAACTTAAATTGTGATACTATCCATTTGAACATTCTTACACAGCCACGCTTCTTTTGTGCATAAAATAATTGTTTTTGTTAAGAACATTTACAGGGGTCTAATAGTCATCATAGATGGATAAACATATTATTCTAATACTACATCCTGTATTAGTATTTAATTTTTATTGCATGATATGCTGACATTTAGTTTATGCGATTGAAATATACAGGTGAAAGTGGCTGTTATAGAAAGTTTTTCTGACATTTTAGGAGATTATTTATCACTCCAAGCAGACAGCTATTAAGTTAAGGTTTTTAGTAAAAGTGATTTTACAACTGTATGAGGATAATTTGTATGTAAAGGTGAACTTTACTTTATAAAGACACGACTTATGTTTCTCAAAATTAACATAAAGCTGTTACTTTGTTTATGGCTAAAGGAGTTTAGTTTGTATTGAAAGGAACTTTAAAATTTTTATATACAGTTTAATGGTTTTACAAAAAGTACAAGTGATTCGAGTGTGTAAGAGTGAACATAAGACAAAAAATTTTGATCAATATTTATGAAATGCATTAACAGATTTGTATGGAAATTGGAATAATGATTATCTAAAATGATAAAGTTTTGCAACTGGTTTAAGATAAATTTCCACATTCTTAGATGAACTTTCTTGCCTGACTAAAAAAAAATTAAAATATTTCAACCATCAATTCAGAATTTTTCCCTTTCTGAAGTTTTTCAAAATTTTTATTAACCTGATTCTTTGGCTATCATTTTTATTTCCTGCTGTAGAAGTACAATTTTGTATTGGTTTTTTTCTTTAAAGTAAGTTTTGAGAAAGACTTAAGTATTCAATTTATACATTCAACATTCCCGCTGTTGTAGGAAAAAAAAGTAATTTTTTCCATTTCTTAAACTGTGAAATGTTGATCAAAATTCATATCTTATGCTTTGAGATAGAGATTTGAATACTGGCATTTTAGTAGCATGTTTTCAAAGCTTTTAGGTCTGCTGGTTATAAATTGACCAACTTATGAAGCTAAAACTTTATTCTGTTGTACTGTTACAAGTTGAACAAAACAGATAAGTATGTAGTAATTAGCCATTTTGTGTATTTCCTAGAAAACCTTTACAAAGAAATACTTCTTTCTTTCAACTAACTGCCTTGAAAGAGTTGTATGAATAATATCTTAACCAGTTTGCATTAATCATCATTGTAAATGAGCTGAGGTATGGCTAATCAATTTACCTCAGGTGGTACTGCTTGGAGCACTATAAGCTTTTATTTCTTTTGCAATTTGGTTTAATTATATATTTGCATCTATAGTATCTATTGAAATATAGACAATGTTTTTCTGGCTTTCATCACTAATTAACTTGCAGGTTCTTAAGTGCCTTGATTTTATGATGTTAAATACAATTAGTAAAGAAGGGGTAAAGTCCAGGCACTTACTGTTTTTTCATGGGGAAATTGAAAGTCCTTTCACATTCTTTTTTGTTTTCTCATGAATTCTTCTCGACAGTCACGTAACTATGTTTTATATTAGATTTTAAGTTAGTTTTATTTTAGCCTTTGTTAATATAAGCACGTTATTAATACTTTCAACTGGTGTTAATGAGAATTTTATGCAGAGTTTACTATTATGTGTCCTATTTGAGAAATTGTTTGTGTTCTCAGTGCTTGTAGAATATCTGCAGATTTCTGAGGTTATTTAAACCTATCTTAAAGTTAAAATGTTTTAGATGTAGTCCTGTGTATAGAACATTTCTCGACCTGAACTAAAATTTAAAATGAAGGATAACATACGTCTCTAATTCCATCTCTTTCCTTGTTATTTTTTCACCTTATGAACCTTAAGGTAAAACAATGTTGTGAAAATCATAAAATTTGAATATATTAAACATATTCTGTTATCTCCAACAAATAAAATGTATATATCATTGTTGTTCAAGATTTGTTTCTTTCAGCATTGTTTAAGGAACTGAAAACTATGAATCATTTTTATCTTTTAAATTTTATCTCATAAACATACAGTTGTATAAAATGTCTTTAATCATCTGGTTGCTGGATGAGTTGGATGTTTTGTTTAATATTATGTACATAATTGCTTTATAGAGTATACTATGCTGTGCTTTTTCTCTTTAAATTATCACTCAGTCTTTGAAGTATACTATTAAAAAAAGCTTTTTGCTTGAAATATTGTACTGAGCATATTTTGTTTTATTTACATAAGAAACCACATTTTTCTCCAACTTTTAAATATTTTGTTGTTGTTTTTGACTTAAAGAATATTAAAAAAACCTGATTGGTCAAAGTTAAATAAATCAAAGCAATAATAGAGAATCTAAATCTTTGGTTCCCCCAGTGACACAGCGGTATGCCTGCGGACTTACAATGCTAGAAACCATGTTTCAATATCCTGTGGTGGACAGAGCACAGATAGCCCATTGTGCAGCTTTGTGCTTAGCTTCAAACAAACAAGCAAACTAAATCTTTGGCCATTGCTTTCAACAGAAGTGTTAAAAGAAGTTGAACCAGTTCCATTAACAATTTTAAGTTCATATCCTAATGTTTCTATGAGATTGAAATGTTTGTAACCAAGATAAAATATTATCCACGTTTTTTTTGTTAACAATGTAATGAATTAATTAAAGGTAACACACACCCGTTTTATTCAGTAAAGTACCTTAGAATCTGCATGGTACTTTTTATTTTATTTTAAATGGTTGTTCAGATTTACTGCTGAACTGCATGAAATACCTCTTATGAACAATGATTACTACAGTAACTATCAGATACACTGGAAGAAAGCGTTTTTAAAAAAAAGTAGAAGGTCAAACGTGAATACTTATTAAAAGATGGAGAAAGTTCGTGCATCGTTGATGAAAGGAATATGGTGAAGTAAAATCTTACGAATTTCATGTTCAAAATAATTAACTGTGTGATGAGTTGAATGCCAGAGAATTATCAACAGACATTCGTCCTGGGCCCGGCATGGCCAGGTGGTTAGGGCACTCGACTCGCAATCAGAAGGTCGCGGGTTCGAATCCCCATTCCACCAAACATGCTCGCCCTTTCAGCCACAGGGGTGTTATAATGTGACGGTCAATCCCACTATTCGTTGGTAAAAAAAGTTGGTATATGTTTAAAGTAGATTACTTATAATGAACAAGTTATATTGCTTATGATGATTGAAGGCATTGTTTCATCAGTTGTGTAATTTCGCTGTATTGTCGGCTGTAGACCCAATAATATCTCGCAATGTACAGGTAGCAGAGGTTATACTAAATCCATATACGAAGCTAACGATGCAGAATAATCATTATAATAATATACGTTAAAAATTAAAACTAATAAACAACACTGTGGTAAAGTTATTACTTGCTTAGGCTGATGTCCAAGTAAGAACTACCAGGTAAACTAACAACAATATGAATTAATCTTCATAAGAATTAAAATTAGTTTTAATAAACATAACCAATACTGTTAATGAAAGTTTGGCGTAACCAGCATTAAATGTATGTAAATGCATGAATGTGAAGCTCTGTCGTTATAACCAGTGATTTATTGAAATAAAATCTGAATGAACGAATGGGAAGACACTACGTTTATATTTCTTTATATTTTATGTTTATACATTCCATATAAAAACAATTGTGAAAATTATGTGGATGCTTAAGCATACATGGTAGTTACACCACTGAAACTAACCATAAAAATAAAATAAGATGTAACTAACTTACTATTGTTGCTGGAAAATAAATAACACTGCCCTTAAAATCTGCTAAGAATGAATGAGCTAGCCCATGTCGGAAAAATAACTTCCATTATAAAACACCTGAGGAAGGTTACGTCCTCCAAGCATCATCTTCCCAGCTAGTTATGAAAAAAGTATAGGCCAATTCCATGGTAGTGACTTGCTAACGTGGAATAATCTCAATAGAACAACACGTATTTAGAAAGAAAGGAGATTAACCAATTTATTTGAAGAACCCACTATTGTTAAGCCCATATACATGTCTGGAATTGTGCACACGCTAGAATTCGTGAAAAATTCTTTAAGTAGGTAAGAAATATTATGCATGTGCCTGCATACTATAAAGTGATAAAATTCAAGAAAGTTTGTGCTAATAATAAGATAACGAAATTTGGAAAATGATGAATATGACAAAATAATTGGAGGGAACTAATATAACTAAACTAATCGTGTAACGTTATACTATAATAATAATTTAAAAGTTATGTGGGGTTGAATAATTAGTTAAAAATTAACGTGTTTACATGATAGTTTTGAAAAGGTCATGTTATTTAGTAAAACTATAAAACCCATAATTGGGAGGCAGAAAATTATCAAGTTTTCCGCAAAATTGAAAGAATATTTGCGGCAAAATGCTTTAGGGGGGATCCTCGTTTGTGAGTTAGTTTATTAGATCTGTTCACGAAAGAAATCTTGTAATGCTGGACAAACTCCAATGTACCTAATAAGCTGTGATTAGTAGACGTTGTAACATAGCTTTTTGGGATGTTATTCGTAAATGGGAAAGTTATAATTCCAAAATTAAAAGTGTTTTATTGAAAACGTATAGCTTAAATAATATAAACTTCTGATCAAAGTAAACTATGTGGTTAGAGTAAAACTAAAAATCAATCTGTCACCAGTATAGCTAATTGCTTATACTTTTCTTACGTTTCTACTTATAAAGATTATAATTGTTTCATCACTTGAGTACCCTCGCTGTTAACGATATTTTCGGCCGTAATCCGAATAATATCTCACGAGGTTCGGATAGCTGAGGAGATTTAGGTTAGTTCTAAGCTAACATTACAAAACAACCATTAAAAGAAAAGTATAATATTAAACGAAAAATAGAAATAATCAATGAATTATATTTGATATACTAACTAGTAATGAAAGATAAAATAAAAATAGCATACCTTACTTAGGGAACTCGCAAACACTAGGTCTTGTTTTCAACAGTAGTGGTTGATGTATATTCCGTTGGAAACTTGTAATGTTTGATTTACAATGTTAATATCCAAATCCAGGTACTGTACTTTGTTATTGGTGAAATAGCTTTCTTTTAGAGCAAGTTATTGACGACATACCTATAATAACTAACAAAGTTTACAAACTTCTATTTTAAAATAAATAAGTAGAAAATTCATGATATGCTTGCATACCATAATCCCCATCCCCAACTCTACTTCATGCTTGTCCTCAAGCTAACATTAAAACCAATAAACCTATACATGTGAACTGATCAATGAGTACTGTGACTTCCTCTTGCTTCTGTAAATAGTTATCGCAAAGCAAATCCTTTAACAATGATACATAGAAATTAGTAATTGTGTATCACCTGAAAAACATCCTTTAATACAGAATAAAATAAGAATGAAATGAAATGCAAAACACTATACATAACAAAAACCCTTTAGCTATGAATACAATAAGAAAGCAATTACAGTATAAGATACAACAGAATCAAACACATAAAACAGATTCTTGATCATTAACATATATCAAGTACAATATTTTACAAAACAAAGGAAAACATAAATCCTTTAACTACAATACATATTGATCCAAAACACGAAATCAAACCCTTTAAACATAGATACAGAATAATCCATTCACAAAGCAAAAATAAAAGCTCGCCAACTACAATATTACAACACACCATCCACAACAAAAAATGAAGTGTACTCTTTATAATCTTTAAATGAAATAATTCTCTAACTGAAAACAAGAAAAAGGGTAAAACTGTTACAATTTGTACACATACAAAACCTCATCTAATAAATAACTTTAAAAGACAAAAATAGATTCTCATACATATACAATGACGAACGAGAAATACTAGTGAACTAATTAAAGTACAAAAAATGAATGAAATAAATAGAACAAAAGAAAGAAAATGCAGATACATATACTTGCAACACTTAAATATAGAAAATACTATAAATATAAACCTACGTAAAGAGCAGCAATAAGGCCTGATTCCCTTCACCCTCACCTTAACCCCGAATTTAGATTTTCTAAAGTGGTGATGGTATCACAAATGATTGCCTTTGCTAATGGTATTTCACTTGGCCATCTCAACTTGCAACTTCGTCAGAACCAAATCTCTTAGAAATCATACGTCGTTCAGACCTTAGCAGCCATCTCTTTGCAGTGTTATTTTAGTATCTGGATCTGCTGCATGATCAGGGTTATGGCAGGTCAACTCTAGGCTGGCACCGAGCTCATTCACAGTGCCTTTTCATTTGACTGCTGCTGTAGAGGTCTTATGCTTTGTCTCAGTAAAGATCCAAGGAGCTCTGGGTTGGTACTTGGCCAAATATCAAGGTGGAAGTCCCATCATTTATCTTGAAAGTCCTCACCATCAAAGACAGAAGTAGTGTTGTTGGTGGATAGGTTTTAACAGCCAATGCAATCCTAGTGTCAGTGGTTATTATATCAGCGAGAGACTATCAGTGTTTCCTCCTGATGTCAATGATGATACCAGCTAAGTATTGTTGATGTCTCATTCATTCCATCTTAGTGCCCAGCCTCCTCCCAAGATGGATTTGGGATGTAGTCCCACCAATGATAAGTGCACTTTTGGTGGCATATTTTGATGGGGCTAATATGTTTCCATTAGGTAACTTTAAGAGAAGTTCCTGTTGCCCAAAAGTCTGCCTCCTCTCCTGATTTAAAAGAGTTAGAGATGGAATCAGCATCAGTGGCTAAACTGCCTGCTTAGCTTGACCAGTGTAAAGGTGGTGATCTGTGGCAGTTTCTCTGATACTGTAGTGGTCACTTGGGTTTTGCACGTGGATCAGCAACTTCAAACCTAGCCATAGAACTGACTTGGCTAGGTCTTTACATAAGATGAATCATCCTGCACAGCATCTTCATCTACGGGCTCTACTTGGTTGAAAGTCAGTCTGGCTCCAAGAGTCTTT